GTAGCAGAATGGATTAAAAAACAGAATTTGCCAATAGGTTGTTTACAGGAAACATTTAAAAATGAGAGATGCACATAGAGTAAAAATAAAGGTCTGGAGTAGAATTTATTATACTTCAGCTTATGCAGAAAAAAAGCAGCAGTAGGAACCATGATCTCAGATAAAGTTAAAACTGAAATAGATTTAATTAAAAAAGATAAATTACATTATGACAAAAAGTACCGTACATAATAAAGTAATATCAATACTAAACCTATATGTGCCAAATGCTATAGCATTAAAATTTTTAAAGGAAAAGGTAAATGAATTACAGGTGGAAATAGATAGCAAAACTATAATAGTGGGGTACCTCAACCTTCCTCTATCAGAGCTAGATAAAGCTAACCAAAAAGTAAATAAGGAAAAAGTGAAGGGTATGAATAGAATCTTAGATAAGCTACATATGATAGGTATCTGGAGAGAAATGAATAGGAATAGAAAGGAATATACCTTTTTCTCAGTGGTATATAGCACCTTTACAAAAATTGAAAATGTGTTAGGGCATAAAAATGTTACAATTAAATGCAGAAAAGTAAAAATATTAAATGCATCTTTTTTAATTACAAGACAATAAAATTATGTTTAATAAGGGACCATGGACACAGATTAAAAATTAATTGGAGACTTAACAACTTAATCTTAAAGAATGAGTGAATTTAAAGAACAAGTCATAGAAACAATAAATAATTGTGTTAAAGAGAATGACAATAATGAGACAACATACTCAAACCTATGGGATGCAGCACAAGCCACAATCAGAACAAATTTTTTCTCTCTAAGTGCTTATGTCAATAAAATAGAGAAAGAGTAGACCAATGAATGGGGTATGCAATTTAAAAAACTAGAAAAAGAACAAACTAAAAATCCTCAATTAAGCACCAAATTGGAAATCCTAAAAATTAAAGTTGAGATTAATAAAATTGAATGTAAGAAAACTATTGAATTGACAAATAAAACTAAGAGTTGATTTTTATGGAAAAACAAAACCATTAGTTAATATGGTTTTTAAAAAGAAAGAAGAAAACCAAATCACTGCTATCTAAAATGAAAAGGGTGAATATACCACTAATGAAGATGAAATCAAAACAATTATTAGGATTTATTTTGCTCAATTATATGCCAATAAATTAACAATTTAAATGAAATGGCAGATACTTAGAAAAATATAAACTGCATAGATTAACAGAAGAGGAAGTAGAATATCTAAATAAACCTATTTTAGAAAAAGAAATTGAACAGGTCATAAATAATCTTCCTAAGAAAAAATCATCAGGACCAAATGGATTTACAAGTGAATCCTACCAGACATTTAAAGATCAATTAATTCCAATATTAAATAAATTATTTGTAGTAATAAACAAAGAAGGAATCTTACCAAACTCCTTTTATGAAATAAATGTGGTATTGATACCTAAATCAGGAAGAGTAAAACCAGAGAAAATTACAGACCAATTTCATTAATGAGTATGGATACAAAAATCCTAAAGAAAAACTAGGAGACTACAACAATATATCACAAAGATTATTCATTGTTGACCAAGTTAGATTTATACCAGGAATGCAGGATTGGTTTAACATAAAGAAAACTCAACATAATTAACATAACTTAATATCAATAACTAAAATAATATGATTATATCAATAGATGCAGAAAAAGCTTTTGACAAAATACAATACTCATTCCTATTAAAACACTTGAAAGCATAGGCATAAATAAATTTTTCTTTAAAATGATAAGAAGCATCCACCTAAAGCCATCAGCAAACATTATTTGTAGTGGGTATAATCTAGAAGCCTTCCCACTACTATCAGGAGTGAAACAAGGATGCCCATTATCACCAGTATTATTCAGTGTTGTATTAGAAATGCTCGCAATGGCAATAAGAGAATAAAAAGGAGTTGAAGGAATTAGAATGGGCAATGAGGTAATAACACTATGTCTTTTAACAGATGATATAATGATATACTTGGGAAATCCTAGAGATTCAACTAAAGCATTAGTTGAAACAATGAATAATTTTAGCAAAGTAGCAGGATATAAAATAAATACACATGAATCGTTAGCATTTCTATATGTCACCAACAAAACCTTGTAAGAAGAGATAGTAAGAGATACCCCATTTAAAATAACTGTAGACAGTATAAAATACCTGGGAATATACCTGCCAAGACAAACCCAGGAACTACATGAACATAATGATAAAACTTTTTTTTTATACAAATAAAGTCAGATTTAAATAATCAGAGAAATATCAATTATGGGTTGACAGAGCCAGTAGAATAAAAATGACAGTTTTATTTAATCTATTTAATGCCATCACAATTAAATTACCAAAAAATATTTTATTGAGCTAGAAAAAATAATAACATTCATTTGGAAGAAAAAAGGTCAAGAATGTCAAAGGAATTAATGAAAAAAATATAAAGGAAGAAGGTTTGGCAGTACCAGATCTTAAACTATATTTTAAGGCAGTAATTATCAAAACTGTCTGGTACTGGCTGAAAAATAGAAAGGTGGATCAGTGGAACAGAATAGACATACAATACGCAGTCATTATAGTAACCCTGTGTTTGACAAACGTAAAAATTTAAGATTTTAGTATAAGAATTCACAATTTGGTAAACTTTTTTTGGGATAACCAGAAAGCAGTCTTGCAGAAATTGATTATAGACCAATATCTTACACCATTTACCAAGATAAAGTCAAAGTACGTACATGACCTAGGAATAAGGGAGATATAAGAAAATTAGAAGAACATGTAACATATTATCTATCAGACTTGTGAATAGGAGAAGAATTTATTAACAAAAAGAGATAGATACACATTGTGAGGTATAAAATGGATAATTTTCATTACATTAGCTTAAAATTTTTTGTACAAATAAAACCAATGTAGCCAAGATTAGAAGGAAAACAGAAAATTGGGGGAGGGGAAATTTTATAGACCATTTCTCAAATAAAGGTCTCATATCTTAAATATACAGCGAACTTTGTCAAATTATAAGACCATGAATTATTCCCCAGTTGATGAATGGTCAAAGGATATAAAGACAGTTTTTGGGTGAAGAAATCAAAATCATATATAGGTATATGAAAAAATGCTCTAAATCATTATTGATTAGAGAAATACTGATTAAAACAACTTTGAGATATCTTATACCTATCAAAATGGCTAAAATGTTAGAACAGAAAAATGAGAAATCTTAGGATGTGAAAAAATTGGGACACTGATTACACTGTTGGTGGAACTGTGAACTGATCTAGCCATGTTGAAGAACAATCTGAAATTATGCCCCCAGAATTATAAAACTCTATATACGTTTGCCTCTGCAGTGCCACTCTTAGATCTGTTTCCAAGGTGATCAGGGAAAAAGGAAAAGAACCTCTATGTTCTAAAATGTATATAGCAGCTCTCTTTGTGTTGGCAAAGAACTGGAAAGTGAAAAAGCCCATGATTTGGGAAATGACTAAACAAATTGTGATGTGTGATTGTGTTGGAATGCTACCATGCTACAAGAATGAACAGCAGGTTGATTGTAGAAAAAACGTGGAAAGATTTGCATAAAATAATGGAGTGAAATGAGCAAAACCAAGAGAATGTTGTATACAGTAACAACAGTATTGTTTGAAGAACGACTGAACAACTAAGTTATTTTGAGTATTACAAGTATTCAGATCAGTTCCAAAGAACCTATGAAGGCTGATCCTATCCACTTCCAGAGAAAGAACTGATAGAAGAGTATGCATAGTATAGTTTTATATGTTCATGTACACACGCTTTTGATGGTGGCCTCAAGAGGGACAATTTGGAACTTAAAGTGTAACCAAAAAAATAACTACTTTTTTTTTTGCATAATCCCAAAGTTTTTCAGAATGATTGGATTAATTCATAGCTCTACCAACAACAGTGTAATAGTATAACAGCCTTGTACAATTCCAGTATTAGCTATTCTGACTTTATACATTCCCTTCTAATTTGATGGGTTTTAGGTAAAGATAGTGTTGTTTTAGTTTACATTACCCTCTTACTGTAGTGCTTAAAGCTGGAATGACTTTTGATTAATGAAGTAAAAAATATTCTGTGTTTTAGAGTCAATCCTTAGGTTGACTGTCTCATTCTCTTTCTTTTTTGTGTTCAAACCTTCCAGCTGCTTGTCTTACATGAGTTCAGATGGCTTTGACCCTGTTCTTTTCAACCTGGTTGCCCTGCCTTTTTCCTTTTCCCCATCCCTACTAATGATTGCTTCCTTTAGATTGGAAGTACATTTATTCCTTTCTTTTCATTCACACTCAGTGACAAGAGACTGGTTTTAATCTTCAGGAAGTTTTTGCTGTAAGCTGTGGTGATTTCAGGAATATCAGCTAATGCATTTGCCTCCAAAAATTTGATTTTACACTGAGGAGTGGGGATTAGCCCTTTCACCTCAGTACTCTCCTCTCCCCCAGGCTTCTTTGTTTGACACCCTTCTTCATCACTTATGGAAGAAACTGGACTTAAGTGAAGGAAAGGGTCAATAAGGTAGGAGCAGTGAAGAGGACTAAATTACAGATTATCTCCAGGGGTTGTGTTGGGTAGGCTCTTTGTCTCTTTTTTATGCAAAAATATTTGCATTTATTACCACTATAGCCTGCTGGTTTGAGATCAAGAATGCTCCAGATACTGAAGACAGCAAAGTAAATTGAGCCCTTAAGCTAATTTGACTCCCACAGAATTTCAGCATTGAAAAGAACCTGCAGAGGCCATCTTAGACAATGCATACCTGAACAAAAATTCCCCTTTACAACATACCCAATAAATGGTTATTGTCCTGTATGGCCCATTCTTCATTTAGAAGAAAAGAAAGGACTAACCTGGTAAAAGATGAAATGGCTTATTGAAGATTTGCCTTACATATAGGTGTGCTTTTTGTAATCAAGCTATAATTTTAGTTATTACTGTTATCTCCATTTAATTTTCTAGGTACATGCAAAGCTTTCTTGAACTTTTAGAATATGAAAATAAGAGCCCTGAGGACCCACAAGTTTTGGATGAGTAAGTATAATATTGTATTTATCTGAAAGTAATGAATATGGAAGCAAAAGAATGAGCAAATGGAATTTGTGTCATTAGTAACTAAGTCATATGTAACTGAAAGGAAAACTAATTTTTTTCATAGATACTCCACATTGAGATTTCTTCATTTCAGTTTAAAATTTAGCCAGTATAAAAAAATAATTACAGCAACTCATGTTTCAGAGTAGAATTAGTATTTGGTATATAATAATAAAAGAAAATAGTCAACAGAAGTATTTGTCAACTTTGAATTATGGTGCCACCTATTGGTGGCTATAAAAATGAAGTGTCCTGAGTGTACTGAAAGGAGTCTACTTCATAGAACTTAATTTAAATATTTGGTTTTAAAGTTTGTTCTGTTAAGAGTGCATTTGCATGTGGGTAGTAGAAGCTCATCAGTACTCATCTTAATTCCATAAGTGTGTATGGTGGACTTTTTAAAGGAAAAACTGCCTGTTTCCTCAGTTAGTTTCCCCTGTTGTGGTTCAGTGCAGTGGAAACGGCACTAAATTTGAAATTAGTCTAATTTAGGTTTAGTTCTTTCTTTGTTATTAACTTGCTTTGTCACTCTGGCTAGTGGCGTACCTTCTTTGGGCTTCATTTCCCTTAGCTGTAATATAAAATGAGGGACCTGGACTTTCTTACCTCTAAGGTCCCTTCTAGCTCAGCTGTTCTGTCATGTGCTTCTTTGTGGTTCCTACTTGTATGTAGTTATGTATGTTTTTCATCTGTTATCAAGGTAGTTTCGCTTTTGAAGTATAAGCTTGTTTTACATAGTTATGTAATGTAAAATCAGTGGCCATATGCGTTAGTAAAGATTGGTAGAATGTTAGGACCACATTGACTAGGCTCCTGGAGCTCACCTAGTCAAATCCAGATAAGGAACTGAAACCCAAAGCTATTGAGTGACTTATCTGACATTACATAGTAAGTGGCAGAATAGGAACTAAAACTAGGCTCTCCAAACTCCTAGCTCTTTTCATTAGAGTAAGTTAGTTAATGAAAGATGTTGGGTCTAAATTCAGGTCAAGTGTATTCCTCTTTCCAGTATACAACACTGATTTAATTGTCAGATTTTGTCAGAGAGCTGACTGTTAGTTATTTTCTAATTTATTTATTAATTTTTGCTAGGCCCTTTGACCTGGCTTCTCATTCAAATATGAAAAAATTTGAGGACATTTTCACATAATGCTCTCATAAAATATTGGACAGCATATCTGTCCTCACAGTCCTTAAGTATCTGTGAACCTGATGTTTATCTTATTCTCAGATTGCGACCTCCTCCTCCTAACCTTTGATATGTTTGGTTTTATGATTTCTTGTGAATTAAATACAGCTGGCTTCAGAGGTGACTGATTTGCTTAGACACAGTTTTAGACTGAAGTATAACATCATGTTGAGGTTCTTTGCAACCCTTCTGATAGCTGTTTGTTTGTTTTTTGATGAGTCTGTAATCAGTCTTGTTTAGTTGAAGACAAGAATCAGACCAGAGTATCATTGATAGAAGTGCCTTTTCAAACTGTTCTTTGAATTTTTGGTGAGAACTGAATTGAAACCTGGAACTTTGTTTCACGAAGACTAGGAACATTTCCTTTATCTAAGACCAAAAATGAATTCGGTAGTTCCATATTTTTGGGATGTGGATCTGTATTACTGGAACATGGGATTAAGAAGTTCCAATGCTTTCTAATATTTATTTTTCAGTTATCCTATTTCAAGGAACAGATTTCAGAATTCACTTAGCTGCCATAGGCATTGTGTTGTGGAAAATACAAAAGATTAGCTTGATGATTTTGGCAAGGGACAACAAAGTTGATAAGTAGTGATATGGAAAACTGTTGCCATGGCTCTCCCAGAGAGAATTTCAGGGAGAATTTTTCTGGAAGTCAACTTAGTACTGAAGTACTGTTACTCAAATTCAAGCGGCCTAAAGAATTGCAAAGCATGTGCATATGAAAATAGCTTTGTAACCTGTAGACTTTGTCATCCAATTATTATTATTGTACCACGTATTTATGTTTGAACATAAAATTAATTTTAAGGAATACATGTACACTATTGTGGTAGACTGAACAAACTATCCTATAAACATAAGGAAGTAAATGCAAATAAAAGTTACAAGAGTACTGATGTTTGTTGATTTATTGCTTATGTAAGTATAACTCTTTGTCCTGTATTGATTCTAATGTTTTGGTAGGTAGCAGATGTATGTTCCAAATTATTTAATATGCTTCATAAACAAAGATAATCAGAAGTTTTTCATAGTTAGGTATAGCTTTGGCATTTTTTTCCCCTTTGTACTCTAGGGGTAAATTTGGAAAGTTAGGGGTTATTTGAGATATTTAGTGTTCCAAAACAGATGTATGTTTTTCAAAAGGTTATCATATGGATTGTTTTCCATAGCTTCTTTGTGGAAACACATTGTAAGTTTGAAAGATCCTGAAAAATGCTTTCTGGGTTGGTAGTATTGAACTATTTGGAACAAATTTCCTGTCTTGAGGAATGATATGATCTAGTAAGATGAGAAACCTCTCTGTTATAATCAGTTGCCAATTTAGTAGGGAAATATTGAAAAGGTAATATATTGGACCACTAACAAAACCCCATTGATTTATAATAATAATTGATTTCAATTTCTTAATGTATTCACAGGTGTGAACTAATTCTAGTTCTGTTTGTTATTTTTTGTTCTGTAGCACTATACTCACCATAATGAGAAAATCAGAGCAGTTGAGGTGTGGAGTTGGGAAAGCATTGGCTTTGAGGAAGCTTCCAACCTTCTTCCTACTCCAGAGCTGCTTATAGCCAAGACATAGAAACTCTTTTTTACTGGTGTTTGTTTATAGGCTGTACCATTAACTGCTGTTGCAGAACTGTTTGCCCTTGAAAGAGAGGTAGAGAAACAGACAAAAGCACAAGAGAGGACCGAGTAAAATCTCTTTGCTATGGATAAATGCAGCTTTAGGAGTGCAGTGTTCTTGGGTGGTTTCTCTTTCCTTGTATCTATGTTCATGTTCCATTGTGGCATGTGTATGTATGTGTGTCCGTGTGTACCTGGGACAGTATTGTGTGCTGAGCCATGCTACTGAACTGTCAAAGAACTTATATCCAGGCAGCACAGAAACTAACTAGCTAGCATTTATATACTATTTTAAGATTCACAGAACACTATACAAATATTATCTTATTTCATCCTCTTAACTCTGTGAGGCAGGTGCTTTTGTTATCCCTATTTTTATTAGTGAGGAAACTGAGGTTAAACAGGTTAAGTGATTTGTTGACGGTCTCACAGCTAGTAAGGAGATGAGGCATGAGGATTCTGAGCAGAAGTTCAGTGCTCTATTCACCTCTAGCAGTACTCTATCTGTGTTTTTGACAGCATTTTCAGAGCCCTTTCCTTTTTTGGGCATGTTGTGTTAACCCTAATGATACCATTCACCAATATTCAGTTTTCCTTTTGTCTTTTTCTTCTCCTGGTTGTTGTAGATTTTTAAAATTATATTTGTAAGGGGTGGGAGGATGAGATGGTAAACCTGTAACCATCTGGAGAAGGAAAAAAATACAGAATTATTACGTCTTTTGGTTCAGCCCCCCAGCCCAACCCCTTTACATTTTGTTTCTGGGGGACTTAAAAGATTATAGTAAGATACTTTTAGTTTTATTAATATTAGAAGAAATACTGGAAGAAATAGCTAAAGAAAGATTTTTGACTTTTAAGACTCCATTAACAATTCTTTGTTTTAAGATAAAACAAAGAGGTTATTTCTTTGAGGGTGATCATCATACAATTTCATAATACATCGTATTTGTGTTATATGATAATCTCATCAGTAGTAATAACATTAAAAACTAGTTTTTAATGGTTGCTGAATTTTATTTTCAGTTGATGAACAAACATATATATTAAGTGCTTACAATGTACCAGCAACTGTGCAAAACGTGAGGGATACAGAGAAAAAGGAAAAACCCTGCCTTTAAAGTGTTTACATTCTAATGGGTGGGGGAGAAGGGAACCACTTATATAAATCAGAACATGCAAGATAAATACTGAGTAGGTGGTGATAAAGTTTTTTTTTTCTCTGTGCATTTTTGGAAAAAATATTTCTGAAGGGAGAAATACTTAACTAAAAAAATCTCCAAGTTCCAACTGAGTACTAATAGTTTATGTGAGCAAGCAAGACTGTCTTTTATATTTCAATAGATACTTGTCTCTCTAAATTTGGAAGGGGTAAGCAAATGTGTAGCACTTAGGATAAAAAGAAGTGTCCAGACTTTAGTCCTATAAGACATGAAGACTTTAAATATTTGCATACACTAATCAGTTTCTCTGTCTTTTTTTTTCCCTCCCCCACAGCTTTTTACAAGTTATGGTTAAAGTCAGAAACAGACACAATGATGTGGTTCCTACCATGGCACAAGGGGTGATTGAATACAAGGAGAAGTATGGTTTTGATCCTTTCATTAGCAGTAACATCCAGTATTTTCTGGATCGGTTTTATACCAACCGCATTTCTTTCCGCATGCTTATTAACCAGCACAGTAAGTTGGGGTTTTGTTTTTCTACCCTTAAAAAGACAAGTAGAATTGTTGCTCCTGAATGCCAAGATGTTGCATTGATTTGAAGTTTCCTTTCCTCACTGATGACTAACTCTAACATTCCAGGATGAAAAGAAGGCAAATGGCATATTGTGACAGGTTGTAGCTAGACTAACATTTGATATGACTAGTAATTATTAATCTGAGCCACTTGACAGAAAATAGAAGCTGTCCATTTTAAAATGTTGAGTTTAAACCAGAGCTCGTATTGGTGCCTCAAACTAAGACTAAGGCTAAATAATTTTTTTTTCCATTTTAATGCATGAAAGGAGAGATCACAAACTATTTTAAAGGCATTAATAGGCACTCAATTACATTATCTCTGCCTATCAATCTTTGGTTTTTGTTGTAGGGTTTGATATATTTTATCTATTATCAGAAGAGATTTTCTCTTTTTCTGGTTTTGCTTTTTTTTTGTGTGTTTAAACATGACTTTCCCTTTACTAACTTGAATTTTTGTTGATAGAAATGGTATTTCTAATAGAATATTTTCCAACTGAATTACCTAGTCATGAATAATTATGTTGTAGTTGTATATGTTAGAAAACTGGGTGTAGCTTCTGCTGTTTATTATATCTCAAGATAATATGCCAAATACACTTCATTATGCAGATATTAGGAGATAGGATTAACACCTGCTATGTAGACTAACCAGGTCACCTGGGGCTTTTTACTGTGTGTAATTGTTTTGTCTCTGGCAGAAATGATTTAAGAGCTATGTATCTAAATCCATGTGATAAGGTCTGATGTTACAGGATTCTAATTTGAGTCTGACAGGGAAGGGGCTTACTCCCCATATAAATTTGCTGGGGACTTTTCTTGATCCCAAAGCAACTTCTTTTGATTCCACTTTTTGTCATTCTTTTAATGGGACATGGAAATTTGTCCTTCATAGTATCTTTTATTGCTGGGTTCGTTACACTTATCTAACTTTTATTGCAAAACAAGACTGAGGTCCTTAATTTCTTAAGCATGTTATTTCTTAAATAAGAATATAGTCCTTTAATCCTTAAGACTTAAAATAATAAATGAAAAGGAAAAAATTATATAAGTATAGCTGAAAAAGCTTACAGTAGTAGAGATCCCTGATCTTCATTGAAGTATAACTAGCTCTGTTAGTTCTTAACTGTCTTTCTTTGATGTACTCTCATGTAGGGAGTTAACTCCAGCTTTTTCTGTCTTTTCTCTGGAAAAATAAACAATCCCTACTCCTTCAGTAAAGGATACTGCTGCTTAATTTAATTCACTTTTCCTCTCTTCTTCACAGTACCTTTCAAACACCATCAATTCTGTCCAAGTAGAAGTGCAAAATGAAGGGCCTTGACATTTTGAGGATATGTCAGATTCATGTTTTTTATTTTGGGGTTCACCTGTCTCTTGCAAGGTCAAAGGTCAATTCTTCTGCCAAGTCAGCTTTGTAGTGCTAGCTCACAACCAAGGATTCAGTCCTAACAGGGGCCAATAGGCTTTACTTAAAAAGAAGCTGTTCTTTCATGGATGACACCCTCTCTCCCAGGCAGTTTTGAAGTAACTGTTTTGAAGTTTTGAAGTAAAATGTAGATTCCTGACACTAGTCACAGGTTTTATAAAGTACTGAATAACTCAGTTCAAACTACTAGTCATCACTACTGGAAGAAAAAAATTCAAAAGCAAACACTTTCCTGATTATCAGCCAAGCACTGTTTTCCTAATGAGGGAATGGACATTATTGTTTATTTTGCAAATGTAATGTTAAATAGAGCAGTTAGGTAGTGCAGTGAATACAGTGCTGGGTCTGGAATCAGGAAGACTCATCTTCCTGAGTTCAAATCTAGCCTCAGACACTACTTGCTGTGTAACCCTGGACAAGTCAAGGTTAACCGTGTTGACCTTAGTTTCCTCATGTGTAAAGATGAGAGGAGAAGAAAATGGCAAACCACATCAGTATCTTTGTGAAGAAAACCCCAAGTGGGGTCACAGAGGGTTGGATATGACTGAAACAGCTGAACAACAATAATGATATTAAATATCCTTATTCTCACAGTAACTGGGCTTTTTAGTTTTTAACCATGTATTTATTCATTTTTTCTTCCTGTATTTTTCTTGAAATGGCCAGTTACAGGGTGGTTGTGGTTTTTTTAACTTTTTCATTTTAAGAATTATAGGCATTTTGAATTTTTAAAAATATTGATGTATAAGATCATAGATTGAGAGTAGAAGGGGATTTTGGAGACCATTCAGTCCAACCCTCTCATTTTGTGAATGAGAAAACCAAGGGTTGTAGAGGCTAACCTGATTTGCCCAGGATCCCATAGTTAGTAATTGTCTGAGACAGGATTGAAATACAAGTCCTCATTTCTCATTTTATCCCTCTCCCACCCAGAGAACTATCCTGTATAACCAAGAATAAAAAAGAAAGGGAGGAAAAAAGCAATTCAGCAAAACTAATCAGCATTCCATTTGTCTGACCACATATATACTGTGTACTACATCCATCCATAGTGCCCCCATCTCTGAAAAGAAGGGAGAAAGGTATATCCATATCTCTTCTTCAGTAGTTGGCTTGGACATTATAATTACACGTACGTGTTCATGTATTTTGTTTTAACTCGGACATTTTGGCAGTGGAGATAGCTAATTATTTATTTTATGTTATGGTTAATGGGTATTGTATGATTGAGAGCAGTGATTATTTTTCAGGCTGTGTGATTGGCCAAATAAACAATTAAGGAAGAAAAAAACTGTATAGCTCTAGAAAAAAAATACCTTTTTTAGAGGGGGGAGGTGGAGGGAGTATTTACAACTTTTAGTTCATTCTGTTTATTTAAAAGAATATGGTTCTCAAAAAAAAATGTAGACTTTGACTAAGACATTGTCCTCTAAATAGCTGTCATAAAAGATACAAAAAATTCTCAAATTACATGTCATATATTTGATAAAATTATTCTACTTAAATAATATAAATGTTCTAAATTCATGATGCCTTTTAAAAATAATTAAAAACTTAAGTTGATTTACAGGAGATTAAAAAAAAAACAGCACACTAATGAAATATTATACCACTCCAGTCTCTTTTCTGGTCTTTCTTATTTGATGTTGATTATAACTATGTGTAATACTTTTTAATATTTTATTTCATTTAATGTTATTTTCCATAGACATTTTCATCTATTGCTTGTCATTTTTTACTAGCTACATAGTATTCTATGCTGATAATATACTAGTTAATTTTTAATTCCTGCATTGTTCCCACTTTTCATCTATCATAAGTAAGACCAATTATGGCTATTTTATAGAAATTATTTTTCTTTCATGTGAGGTATTTCCTGGGAAAGTAGTGGTTGAAGGGAAATTAATGGGATGACTGGCTTTGTTATGCATTGCCAGATGACTCTCATATCTTTTTATAAAATGCTTTAGCAGATGTTGCGTGCACTAATGCTAAAAAGTCTATTTAGCCCTGTGTACTGATTTTTTAAAATTAAATTGTTTTTTCAGTTAACAAAAATCTTCTTTCTCTCTCTTCCCCATCCATTGGAAGAGGTCCATTGAGAAAGAAAGAAAAACAAAACACCTTTTACAAACGTGTCTAGTCAAGCAAAACAAATTCCCACATTAGCCATGTCAAAAAAGAAAAAAAAGTGTCCATATATTCTGCATCTGCCATCCTGGGCAATCAGTTTTCAAAATTCTATCTAGTACATTATACATATTTAACTGAAACTCTGGTGTAGGATGCTGTTTGTGAATAAGAAAAAAATAAGTTTTAAGTTTTATCATTTTAATTCATATTGGGGAGGGAAAGAGGTTCTGGATATATTCTTTTAGATGAGATATTTGCATCAAACAGATTTCACTGATTTCAAGTGCTTTCCCATTAGTGACACTGTCTCTTAACTTTGGTCTATTCTCTTGTAAACTTTTGTTCTTAGTTTGTTGGTAGCTATTATTAGTTTTGCTCATATATGTGGACCCTTAATTGCATGTTACAAAAAGGAGAATCCATTAAGAAATTTAATATTTTTCTCTGTTTAGCTATTCAGTATAGATGTATATTTACTAATCTTTGACTTTTTTCCCTTTAAGCACTTCTTTTTGGTGATGACCCTAATCCTGCACATCCTAAACACATTGGGAGTATTGACCCCACCTGTAATGTAGCTGAGGTAGTGAAAGGTAAGGAGACTAAATGAACATTCTTGTCTAAAAGGTATAATGAAGTTTGTTCTTTTACTTGAGATATCATCGACTTCTGAACTTCAGACTTCATCCCAGATATATAGATAAATGCAAATTCTGCCTCGTTATCACGACATCTGGGGAACAAACCATTTAATCCCTGATCTTCTGCCTTCCATAAAATGAGGTTATCCTAAGTATGTAAAGGGGACTTGGGGTGATCCCACAAAAATAGGTGCTCTATAAATATATGTTTACTCAAATTAATAAACTGTCAACTTTGCTTTTGCTGGATAGCATCATATTTTTCACATGGGTTAGGTTTGCATTCAAAAAAATAAAAAAGCCTGGGTAAGTTAGGGTTCAAAAGATGAAATTCCTTAATTTCTCTTTTCTAGTCTTTCGTTTTTTTCATCTCTGAAAAGAAAGAATTGGATTAGGTGGTCTAGAAAGCTCTACAATATGCAAACAAAAATATATAAGGCAAAGTATATGCAGGATAAATAGGAAATAATAGAGGGAAGGCACTGGAATTAAGAGAGATTGGGAAAGGCTTTTTGTTGAAGGTGGGATTTTAGTTGGGACTTAAAGTTACCAGGGAGGTCAGTGGTTGGACTGGAGGCAGGAGAGCCTTCCAGGCATAGGAGAAAATGCTCAGAGTCAAACCATAGAGTGCTGTGAAACAGCTGGGAGGCCAGTGGCACTGGATTGAAGAATATATATTGGAGGCTAAGGAGGCTGGCTGTGAGTAAGGTGTAAGAAGACTAGAAAGGTAAGAGGGGACCAGGTTATGAAGAGCTTTGAATGCCAAACAGCATTTTGAATTTGCTTCTGGAAGCAATAGGAAGCCAGTGGAGTTTATGAGAAGGTGGTGGTGACATAGTCACACTTGCACTTTAGGAAAATCACTTTGGTAGCTGAATGGAGGGTGGGTTGGAATGAGAAATATAGCATTTAAAAAAGTTTGAGAGACATAATTTCTGGGTAATTTAACCATTTTATTAATGATCTAGCATTTTTAATAAAAGGCCAGTGGCACTCTGAAATGCCAAAGGCAATCATGGCAGTGGGCTCACGGTTTATAAACCCTTGGAAGAGGGGTGTTCCTCAGGGTAGCAATCAATTCTGATTGGTTAACAATTAATAAGAGGTGGACTTTACAAAGAGAAGTGAGCTTACTCTAATGAGGGACTGAGAGTGACATCATGTCACTCTTGGTCAGAGAGACTATCCCTATACCCAGACCATCCCCAGCCTTGGGCAATCTAGACAAAGAATCTGTATTCCCCTACCCAATCCTGAGCTAGTTGGGTGAAGTAGCAGTACCCAGAATTAGGAGAATGTTAATCCTATCTTCATCAGCCCTGTCCTTGAACAGATTGGACAAGGAAATAGGACTGGGAAAAAACGCTTGGGTCTCCCCAATTTTAATACTTGACTGTTAATAGGAGAGAGAAATAATTATTTTTTCTCAGACGACACTTGAGGCAGGCAGACCCATCACTGGCTATGGCAGTAATCTAGATGTGAGGGCCCGCACCAGAGTGATGGCCATATTAGAGGAGAGAAGGGGGCATATCCCACATTGCTCGAGTGAGCAATAGTGAGTTGATAAGAGAGATTGCCTAGCAGCAGTGAGGGCCTAATTGAGGTTATGTGACACAAATTTGTAGTGGACCCAACCAGAATGGTTGTTTGATTTTCTCCACCTTTGTTCAGCAGCATGCGTATAGGTGGAAAGGTGACAAATGATGGGAGTAATCCAAGGCTGAGGCTTGGTTGGGAATAATCACTGATATGATAAGGATTAAAGAAAGGAGAACAGTGTAGATTTGGATTGGTTCACCAAGGAATCAAGATGGGGAGAAGAGGAGAGAGTGGCTAGTGCAGTGAGAGATAGCCTGGGAGAGAATTGAGGGATTGATTAGAGGTCATGGTATGGATGAAGAGTAGGACTTTGTAAGGGAAGACATAGGAAGAAGTGAAAAGCCAATAGATTATGATTAGATATGAAGATTTCAGAATTCTTAGACATGGAGGTGGTACATTTGTGGATGATGGCAAGATCAAGGGTATGTCCATCTTTGTGTGTGGCTGAGGTAGGGTAGAGTTGTAGTGCATCAAGTGAGTAGGTTGAGGAACTGAGTGGTTAGGATATTTGAAGAATAATCAATATGTATGTCAAAGTTCCATAGTATAAGGGCAGGGATTGGGGAGGATAGAAAAATTGTGAGTATCAAATTCATTGAGAAAGGAAGGGGAGTGAACTGGAGGTCTATAGCAATAGCTATCAGGACTTTGATAGTGTGGTAGAAAGGAATAGCATGAACCTAAAAGGAAGAGAAGTTACTGAGTGATACAGAAGTGGGAGAACCTGAAAGTGGCAGAGGGGAGCAAAGAGTATTCCAACTCTCTTGCCTTAACCAGTGAGTCAAGGAGAATGGGTGAAGGTGTAGGCAATACTGGAAAGGTTAGCCAGAGCTAAGAGGTGGAAGGATCGGAGGAGGAATAGATTTATAAGAAAGAAGTATGTTGCCTGTGGAACAGGCATTCCAGAGGGCACTGTGGAGGGGCTGGGTAGAGTTAGATTGAAGCTTTGGGGTAGAGAGGGGTGGGAATGAGGAATTGGGTGGTGGGAGTAAGGAATGGGGTTTGAATGATGATCCACCAGAATTTGAGATGTGAGGGGTATGACCAGGTGTGAGAATGTTGGCCTCATAGAGTAGAGGATGCCAGTCCTCTGCCTTCAAAGGACAGGCACAGTAGGAAATGGGAGGCCTGAAGTCAAAGGAAGGGTTACTTTAATTTGGAATGGAGGTTCTTTACTTCCCAGTTGGGACATCGGGCTAGTAGCAGACAGTGTAAGTTGCCTTGTGTTGGTACATATAAAAGTGATTGCTTTGGTGTAGCTGGAAGATACTTGGCCTAGCCCCAAGAAGCTTTGCCTGAGGGGACATAATGTGCCTCACAAGAGATAGAAGGCTCAAGGTGCTAACATGTACATGGTGTGAGGTCTCTTCACCTGAGAAGGCTGGCTAGGGGATGGCAGTAGGAAGTGGTAGATTCTCTGTATAGATGGAAGGCAGATACCTGGCCTGGCCTCTCACTCTCTGTTAACTGCTTATCCAAGGATTTATTGGTGACTTCTGAAGGGTACACATAGTTTCTTTCTTTCTGTGTTTAGTTCCATATTGCTTTCCATAGTGGCTAGACCAAATCACAGTTCGCTTATCATGTACTAATGTACCTATTTTCCCACACCCTCTCCAGTATTTGTCATTTTTCTTTTTTCTTATCTTTTCCAATTTTATAGATGTGAGGAGGAAGTTGCTTTTTAATTTTCACTTCCCTAATTATTAATGCTATAGAGCATTTTTTTCCTCATTAATGATTTTATTTTTATAGAGCATTTTTTGATTTGAGTGTTGTTGATAGCCTGAATTTCTTCCTTTGAAAACTGCCTATTCATATCTTTCTTATCTGTTGAGTAATAACTTAGTCTTATAAATTTTAATCTGTTCCTCATCTATCTTGGAACTGAGACCTATATTAGAGAAACTTGTTGCAAAGATTTTTCTTTCCAGTTATCTCATTATCCCTTCTAATTTTGACATTAAATTTGTTTGTGACCTTCCTCCAATAATTCAACAAGTCAAGTATTTATTTAAGCATTTACTATATGCTAGGCACTGTGCTAAGCAGTGGAAATACACACAGAAAGACAGTTCCCTGCCTTTAAAGAGCTTATATTCCAATGGGAGAACACAACACATAAAAGAAAGCTGAAAGGGAGTGGGGCAAAGGTATCAGAGTAGATATCTCTACTATCTAGCACATTAGAGAAAGTGCAGTCCTTTCTTTTGGTTTACTTGTAATATTTTTTATTTTTTATACCTTGAAGCTCTGGATTTTGACAGGGTGGTTCCTGGGAATTTTTATTTTGTGGTTTTACCACTCAGGAGGTGACTGGTGGATTCTTTCTGTTTTTGCTTTGTCATCTGGTTCTAAGAGTTCTGGGAGTTTTCATTTCTAATTTCCTGAAATATGGTGCATAGACTTTTTAATCATAATGTTAATATTGTCTGATAATTCTTTGATTGTCTCTACCTGTTTTCCAGGTCAGGGGTTTTTTTTTTTTTTTTAATTCTTTGCTTTTGTTTTGACCTTTGTTGTCTTGTTGAGTCTAGTCCATTCTAGTTTTCAGGGCATTAAGTTCTTGGATGAAGTTTTCCACTGTTCCACTGTCTGTTAACACTGGTGTTAATTTTCCTTAACAGTCTTTTCTCCCTAGCTTTTCCATTCTGTTTCTCTTTTTTCATTTCCTCCAGGTACTCCTTCAGTCCCTGTGGCCAGGAAATTTTTTTTCTTTGAGTCTTTACCTGGTATGAGGTTACTTTCCTTTTTAGAGTTTACCCCCTTGGTGTCTCTCAAACCAAGGTATTTCTTCATGGTGTTCAGTTTTCCTTGGTTTGCTCCTTGAGACCTGTACGTGGCTCAAGCTCTACAACTGAGTGGTATAGGTGGGGCCTGCCTAGTCCTGAGTACAGTAATCAGATGAAGCCCCTCTTTTAAGGGACTTAAAGGCCTTTCTAGGCCTTTTCTACCTGGAGGCTTTTTGTCTTTTAGAGGCTGAGGTAGGTGTAAGGAACGATGGAACAGAGTAAATGGCAGAAATCAGTTTTATGAAGTCTCTTCTGCTGTAATGCTGTATGACTCATATGGCACTTTGCATATGCTGCCTTATATTACAGTTATTTGTGAATGTTTTATTTCTTATTTTTATTATTAACAATAGCCAGTCAGTCAACAAGCATTTGTTAAGCACTTCATGCTAGATGCTATATTATATGCTGGGGATAGGAAACAAAAATAAAAACAGGCCTTGCCCCCAAAAGGCTTACATTCTAATGGGGGAGACAACATATATAAATCAGTCTGTTGAAGGTAAAGATGGAAGGTAGCCTTAGAGGGAAAGGCTGTAGTAACTGTAGTAAGGC